ATGACGATCTTCGCGGTCATCTGCGCCGGCACGTTCCCGGGCATCCACGTCGGGCGCGTCTGGATGGCCTGGATGCTCTTCCCGCTCCCGAACTCCAACGCGATCTGGCCGAACTTCCGCTCCCCGCTGCTGTGGGACGTCTTCGCGGTCGGCACGTACTTCACCGTCTCGACGCTGTTCTGGTACATGGGCATGATCCCGGACATCGCGACCCTCCGCGACCGGGCGACCCTGCGCCGGAACAAGCCGGTGACCTTCGGCCCGCTCTGGGCGCCGCACCCGCTGCCCAAGTTCATCGCGACCAAGACCATCACCCTCCCCGCGAACATGATCGCGAGCTACGTCTACGGCTTCCTCTCCGTCGGCTGGCGCTTCAGCGCCCGCCACTGGCACGAGTACGAGAAGGCGTACCTGCTCTTCGCGGGCGTCGCGACCCCGCTCGTGCTCTCGGTGCACTCGGTCGTCTCCTTCGACTTCGCGGTGTCCATCCTCCCCGGCTGGCACACCACGATCTTCCCGCCGTACTTCGTCGCGGGCGCCATCTTCTCCGGCTTCGCCATGGTGCTCACGCTGCTGATCCCGGCGCGTGAGCTCTACCCGGGCATGAAGGACTTCGTCACCGCGAAGACCATGGAGAACATGTGCAAGATCATCACCGTGACCGGTTCGATGGTCGGCTTCGCGTACATCATGGAATTCTTCATCGCCTGGTACGGCGCCAACCCCTTCGAGCAGGACGCGTTCATCCGGCGCGCCTTCGGCCCGTACTGGTGGGCGTACGCCGCGATGTTCTTCTGCAACGTGCTCTCGCCGCAGGTGTTCTGGTTCAAGAAGGCCCGCACGACGGTGTGGTTCATCTTCCTGATCTCGATCGTCGTGAACATCGGGATGTGGTTCGAGCGGTTCGTCATCGTCACGACCCTCTCCTCGGACTTCCTCCCCTCGAGCTGGGCGTACTACAACCCGACGCTCGTCGACATCGGCACCTTCATCGGCTCGCTCGGCATCTTCATGACCCTCTTCCTGCTCTTCTGCCGCTTCCTGCCCATGCTCGCGATCAGCGAGGTCAAGAACGTCATGCCCCAGGCGCACGCGCACCTGCACGGCCACCACGAGGATCACGGGGACGACCACTCAAAGGATCACAAGGAGGGCGACAGCCATGGCTGAGGCCTCTGAACGCTACGGCCTGCTCGCCGAGTTCAAGGACGTGACCGCGATCTACAACGCGGCGCAGAAAGTCCGCGACGACGGCTACACGAAGTGGGACGTCTACTCGCCGTTCCCCATCCACGGGATGGACGAGGCCATGGGCCTCGGCCGGCCCAAGGTCTCCCTCTTCATGGGCACCGGCGCCCTGCTCGGCGTGAGCGGCGCGCTGCTCATGCAGTGGTGGATGAACGGCGTGGACTACCAGATCCTCAACGGCGGCAAGCCGCTGTTCGCCTGGGAGCAGGCGACGCCCGTCACCTTCGAGCTCGGCGTGCTGCTCAGCGCGTTCGGCTGCCTGGGCGGGATGCTCTTCCTCAACAAGCTCCCCATGCCCTATCACCCGCTCATGAAGAGCGACAACTTCCTCCGCTCGAGCGACGACAAGTTCTTCATCGCCATCGAGGCGGGCGACCCCAAGTTCGACGACCAGGCCACCGCGGGCTACCTCGAGAGCCTCGGCGGTTTCAACATCGAGAAGCTGGAGAAGTGATGAACCCTCGCGCACACACCCTGATCGCCTCGGTGCTCCTCGGCGCGCTCGCGCTGGGGACCGGCTGCCGCGAGGAGGTCGCCGAGCTGCCGCCCCGGCAGTTCCTGCCCGACCTCGACGACCAGCTGAAGTACAAGGCGCAGTCCGAGTCGGTGTTCTTCTCCGACGGTCGCACCCAGCGGGTCCCGCCGGCGAACACGGTCGCCTTCGGCCGCCGCCCCTACACCGACGCCGTCGACGGCTTCACCAGCACCGGACGCGCCGTCTCCGTCGACTTCGCACAGCGGGCCGAGATGCTCCGCGACGACGACGCGCTGTACCGCGGCCGCAACGCCGACGGCTCGCTCGTGATGGACATGCCCGTCCGTGTCACCGAGGAGCTCATCGAGCTCGGACGCGAGAACTACAACATCTACTGCATCGTCTGCCACGGCGGCACCGGCGAGGGTGACGGCATCGTCGGCCAGAAGTGGAGCTACCCGATCCCGTCCTACCACGTCGAGGCCATCCAGAAGGGCGGCTCGGCGGACAAGGGGTCCGACGGCTACATCTACGACGTGATCCGCAACGGCGTGCCCAACCCCGGCGGGGCCTTCCCGCTCAAGATGCCGTCGTACGCGAACAAGGTCTCCGAGTATGAATCCTGGGCGATCGTCGCCTACATCCGCACGCTCCAGAAGGCCCGCAGCGGCTCGATGGACGACCTGCCGGACCGCATGCGTCTGCAGCTGCAGACCTCGGCGCCCGCGGCCGAGCCCGCGACGGCCGCGTCGACGCAGAACACCGAGAGCACGAGCGAGGAGGCGTCCTCATGAGCAGCGCCCACGTCGACACCAAGCTCGTCTACGAGCGTGACAACATCTACCTGCCCGACACGGGCAAGTGGCTCTCCTGGGTTCTGATCGTCCTCGGGGCGCTCATGCTCGCGGGGTCCTTCGCCGTCCTGTTCTCGACCGACGAGAAGCAGATCAAGGCCGTGCTGCACTCGTACCACGCGGGCATGCTGGTGGCGCTCGGCGTGCCGCTGGGCGCGATGGTTTTCGTCATGATCAACCACCAGGTGCAGGCGGGCTGGATGCTCTCGCTCCGCCGGCAGTTCGAGAACATGATGAAGCTCATCTGGGTCGGGGCCGTCCTGTACCTGATCGGCGTGGTGATGCAGCTGATCACCACGAGCAACGAGGAGCACCAGGTGTTCCTCTTCAAGTGGATGAACCCGCACTACACCGAGGGGGACGTCATCTACGAGTCCAAGGCGGGCTACCTGAACCAGTTCTGGTTCGCCGTCCGCGCGGTGGTGTACTGGGTCATCTGGCTCGGCCTCGCCTACTTCCTCTGGACCTTCTCCAAGCAGCACGACGAGGACCGCGACAAGACGCACATGAAGTACGCCCGCAAGCTCTCCGCGGTCGGGCTGCTCCTCTTCGCGTTCTCCACCGCCTTCGCCAGCTTCGACTGGATCATGTCGCTGGACTTCCACTGGTTCAGCACGATGTTCGGCGTCTTCTTCTTCGCCGGGAACATCCTCTCGGCCCTCACGATGGGCACCCTTATCCTGCTCATCCTCCGCCTCCGCGGGCGGATGCACGGCGCGTTCACCGTCGAGCACCTGCACGACCTGGGTAAGCTGACCTTCGGCTTCATCGTCTTCTGGGGCTACATCAGCTTCAGCCAGTACTTCCTCATCTGGTACGCCAACATCCCGGAAGAGACCGCCTACTTCCTCAAGCGCAAGAGCGGCGACTGGGAGCTGTTCTCCTACGTCCTGCCGGTCTGCGGATTCATCATCCCCTTCCTCATCCTGCTGTTCCGCCCGATCAAGCGAAGCTTCTTCGTCATGGGCGTGATGGCGGTCTGGCTCCTCGTGGTGCACGTGCTGGACATGCTCTGGTACGTCCGCGCCGAAGCGGGCAACGAGCTGTACATCATCGACGCGGTCGCCGTGGGCGGCCCGATCCTGCTGTTCCTCGGGCTGCTGATCCGCCAGGTCGGTTCGGGCCCGCTCATGCCGCTGTCCGATCCCAAGATGCACGAAGCCCTCGAGCACAAGAACTACGTCTGAGGCCCACCCCATGAGCGATCACCACGACGACTGGTTCAAGCACCCCCCGGACGAGGTCCACATGGAGGCGCACGGAGAGACCAACTCCGTGATCATCCTCGCGTTCCTCCTGGCGACGATCGTGACGGTCGCCGTCACCGGCGGGCTCATCATGCAGTACTTCAAGGTCCGCGTCGCCGACCTCAAGGAGGAGGTCCAGTTCACCCGCTCGGACGTCTCCCCCAAGGTGCAGGCGGCCCGCGAGGCCAGGGAGTCCTGGGAACGCCGCCTCAACGAGGCCCACTGGGTCGACCGCGACAAGGGCGTCGTCGGCCTCCCCCTCGACGTCGCCATGCAGCGCGTCATCGATGAATACAACTGACCGCCCCGTGCGAAGGAATACCCGAGGAACCATGCGCTCCAGAGCCGCGAACACGCTGACCGCCCGACTCGCCGCGACCGCCGTCGCGCTGGGCGTCGGCGCGTCGGTGTCCGGCCAGCTGATTCCCAAGGACCTCCCCGAGGATATCCAGGGCGTCAAGCTCATCGAGCACCGCGGCGAGTCCGTTCCCACGGATATCCAGCTCGTCGATTCCAAAGGCAACGCGCGCACGACCGGCGACTTCTTCGACGGCGAGCGTCCCGTCATCCTCATCATGGCGTACTACGACTGCCCGCTGCTGTGCACGCTCGTGCTCAACCGCGCGCAGGACGCCCTCAACGAGATCTCCTGGACGCTCGGGGACGAGTACCGCGTGCTCACCGTCTCGTTCGACTCGCGCAACACGCCGGAGCAGTCCGCCCAGAAACAGGCGGAGTACCTCTCCGGCTACCGCGAGGTCGTGGCGGACGCGTCGTGGGAGTTCTGCACGACGGACGCCGAGAACGCCAAACGCCTCGCGACCGCGATCGGCTTCCACTACAAATTCATCCCGGAGACGGGGGAGTTCTCCCACACCTCCGTCCTGACCTTCCTCACGCCCGACGGCAAGATCAACAACTACATCGAGAACCTGATCTTCGACCCGAAACAGGTCAAGCTCGCGCTCGTCGAATCCGCCGAGGGCAAGCAGGGCTCGATCTTCGACCGCATCCAGCACTTCTGCTTCAGCTACGACGGCTCCGAGGGCAAGTACACCCTCCACGCGGTGAACGTCATGAAACTCGGCGGCGGGCTCACGATGCTCTTCGTCGCCGGTTTCGTCGGCGCCTCCGTCGCCATCAGCCGGCGCAACCGGGCCAGCCGGAACACCGACACCACGACCGAAACGGGACACGCGATCCCCGCGAACACCTGAGAGATTGACACGATGACGCTGCACCAACTCATGCCGACGACCACGCTCGCCAACGCCTGGGACCACCTCTGGTACCGCGGGTTCAAGGGCGAATCCAACTTCGCCGACGGGGCGGACCTGGTCTTCTTCTTCATCTTCTGGGTGTCGGTGCTCTTCTTCATCATCCTGATGGGCCTGATGGTCTACTTCGCCGTCAAGTACCGCCGCAAGCCGGGCGTCGCCATCCAGCACAGCCCGTCGCACAACGTCTGGCTCGAGCTGAGCTGGTCGATCATCCCCTCGATCCTTTTCGCGGTCATGTTCTTCTGGGGTTTCGAGGAGTACATCAAGACCCGCGTGGCACCGATCGACGCCGAGGAGATCCACGTCACCGCCCAGCGCTGGGCCTGGACGTGGGACTACTCCACCCCGGACGGCACCGTTCAGTCCATCCAGCGGACCACGCTCGCGGACATGGACTCGCCCGTCTTCGCGCTGCCCGTGAACCGGCCCGTGAAGTTCATCATGAGCTCGACGGACGTCATCCACTCGATGTACATCGCCGCGTTCCGCATCAAGCGCGACGTCTTCCCCAACCGTTACACGACCCTCTGGGTCGAGCCGCAGAACGTCACGCACCGCTACGAGGGCGAGGGCGACGACCAGCAGCTCGTCAAGGTCAACCCCGACGCCGAGCGCATGTACCTCGCCTGCACCGAGTACTGCGGCGATCAGCACTCCCAGATGTGGGCCGAGATCATCGTCCTGAGCGACACCGACTACCAGACCTGGCTCGGCGAGCAGGGCGACACGAGCGGCTACGACCTCGTCGAGCTCGGCAAGCTCATCTACGCCAAGCTCGGGTGCATCGCCTGTCACACCGTCGACGGCTCCACCGGCACCGGCCCAACGTGGAAGGGCACCTGGGGCACCACCCGGAACTTCGCCGACGGCGGCTCCGCGGAGATGGACATCAACTACGTCCGCGAGTCCATCCTCGACCCGCAGGCGCACATCGTCCAGGGCTACCCGGATCAGATGGTCTCGTACGCCGGCCGACTGACCGACCGCGAGCTCCGGGGCGTCGCGGCGTACATCAAGTCGCTCTCCAACGAGCAGGCCGACGTGGACGCGATCATGGAAGAGGCCGCGCAAGAGCTCGAGGAGCAGCAGGCCGCGAAGGAAGCGGCGGAGGCGGGCTCATGATCTTCCGAGGCGAACCGATCAACCAGACCAAGACCCGGACGCGAGCAGCGTCCCTCAACGCAGTGGAGGCGCAGCCATGAGTGCGCACGACGTCAGCTATCTCGAGGGCAAGGGTTCCCTCGGCAAAACGATCATGTCCTGGATCTACACCGTCGATCACAAAAAGATCGGCGTGATGTACCTCGTCGCCGTCCTGACGATGTTCTTCTTCGGCGGCCTGTTCGCCGTGCTGCTCCGGCTCGAGCTCTTCGAGCCGGTCCGCACCGCCGTCGACGGGACCATCACCGGCCAGTTCTTCAAGGCCGGCTGGACCGAGGGCGACCAGGTGGTCACGAGCAACAACTTCTACAACCGCCTGTTCTCCCTCCACGGGACGATCATGGTCTTCCTCTTCATCATCCCGTCCATCCCCGCGGCTCTGGGCAACATCTTCCTGCCCATCATGATCGGCGCGAAGGACGTCGCCTTCCCCAAGCTCAACCTCTTCAGCTGGTACACCTACCTCTTCGGCGGCGCGTTCGCGCTGTGGTCGCTCCTCCAGGGCGGCGTCGAGACGGGCTGGACCTTCTACACGCCGTACTCCACGACCACGAACTGGGGCAACGTCACCGCCCTCGTCCTCGCGGCCTTCATCCTCGGGTTCAGCTCGATCTTCACGGGCATGAACTTCATCGCCACCGTCCACAAGCTCCGCGTCCCGGGCATGGGCTGGTTCGACATGCCACTGTTCGTCTGGGCCATCTACGCCACGGCGATCATCCAGGTCCTCGCGACGCCGGTGCTCGGCATCACGCTGCTCATGATCGTCTTCGAGCGCGTCTTCGAGATCGGCATCTTCGACCCCGCCCTGGGCGGCGACCCCGTGCTCTTCCAGCACTTCTTCTGGTTCTACAGCC